TTGCCAACAATGTATAATGACATTTCCTAGACTTCTCATCAGTTTTTGATGAGGTTGGCGTGTTTTACTGAGTGACATGTTTACAGAGTGGATTGTCAATCCTTGAGTGACATTTTTTCGGCTTGTGTTCGTGTGAATATTCGAGGTGAAAATTTTTGTTTAATTTCCTTCAACAGCTTTCATGTATAACCATTGTTTTCTCGTTGTTTGCTTATTTTTCCCTCAGTTCTTTGTGTCATTTTACAATTAAAATAAAAAGTGAACATGAAAACAATTTCACTTTTAACGAAAACATCGTTCCTCCCTTTTTGCTGAGGCAAGCACCAACCGGACCGGTCCACGTCAAGGTACAGTTAAGGTACAGCCCGGGTACTAGAGATCATCGAGGTTCGGAAACTTGTCTACAGACCGCGACATCAAGCGAGAGACTGATACCGAACGGGGACCTGGTACTCAGAGGAGGGTCGGGACACCACGCCCTCAGACAACGCGCCACGTGCCCACGTTACCCCGCTCCCCTCAGCGCCCCGCTCCCAAATTATCTTTATTAAGATCCGGGATGCATGCTGCTGCCAGGCTTTGAACCTGGGCAGCAACTGGTCATGCGTGTTTGTAGGCACCACTGTAACACACTAGCCACAGTGTGTCTATGGCTTAGTAGTGCGGCACGCTGGTGTTGAAGAGGTGTTGTGCCAGCTATTTACCTCTCCCCCCCCCCCGCCCCCCCCCTCAGCGAGCACCGACCATCACGACAGCAACACGTGGCCATCTGCAGTGCCATGTGGCAGCTTGCTGTGGAGGTTGAAGACCCCCCTGGTTAGGGGGCTGCGCCACATACATATGCATATATTTTCTTCACTATTTTTCCACTGTTGCAGCAGCAGTTTGGCAATGGTTCAAGCTTCCCCCTGGCTAGGGGGCTGTGCAACTGTGGCAGTAGGGTGGCTGATCAAGATCTCAGCCAACCCTGAAACATCATCATCATTATCTTTTATTGTTGCGGCAGCAGGCCAGCAACATCTTGAAGGCCAAGATCCAAGATCCTATGGATCTTGGTAGTGCTCTGCTCTTGTCCACCCAAGAGCTTGGTATCACCATCCTACCCACTAACCTATTCTCCCCAACCCCTTTTCTCTCCCGCCCCCATGATCTACTCATCCTTTCTCACCCTACCACTACTCCCCCCTCCTACCTCCCTCTTCACTCATCTTCCACAATGTCTTTTTTTTTCTTCTCTCCTCTCCTCCCTACTCACCATCTTCTACTGATCTCATCTACTCCTCTCCATCTTTTCCATATCCTTCTCTCCCATTCTACCACCCTCCTCTCCCTCTTTCCCCCCCAACTACAACCCCATCATCTCCCACTTCACTCTTTCTCTCTCTCTCACTTATTCCTCTTTTTCTTCATCACTCTTTCATCCCCACTCCCCCCCCAATTTCGAATTTTCCTGTTTTTTTTCTTTTTTCTTTCTTTTTTATTTAAATCTTCTTTTTTCTTTTTTCAAAAAAAAAATTGAATTATCTTATTCCCCACCTTCTTTTCTCATTTTTTTATTTATTTAATTTTATTTTTTATTTATTTTGAAAATTCGAATTTCTTTACGGCACCCTTAAATCTGATTATGAGTTAGTCATTCTTGCTTTCGACACACATTTTGACCCCGTGGGGGTAACAAAGTGCTGCGGGAACTTTCTGTTGTTTTTTTTTTTACTTAAGTCTTTTTCAACTCATTTTGACCCCTTGGACGTAGCAAAGTGCTGACAAAATCTTCTCATTTTACTTAGCCTTTCTTCTTGATGGCACACTTTGACCTCATGGGGGTAACGAAATGCTGCTGAAATTTTTGAAAAATCCAACACTTAAATTATCTTCATTTCCTCATCTATTTATTTATTTATTTATTTATTATTTTTTAAATTTATTTTTTTGAAATTTACAATTTACGACATTTCGAACTTTAGTGTGTTCATCTTGGTCTCTCCTTCCTCTCGGCACATTCTTGACCCTTTGGGGGGTAGGGAAATGTTGTCGAAAATTTCAAAAAAATAAATATTACTTCTTTCTTCACATTCTGTTTATTTATTTATTTAATTATTTTTATTTTTTATTTTCTTTTATTTTTATCTGGAAATTTCACTATTTATTTTATTTTCTTTCCCCCTCCCCTCCATGGTTATTATTTTTCTTTCTTGATTAGGTCGCCGTTACCCTATCCTAATCACTCAAACCCCAGTTAGGGTTTTCTTAGGGTTTTTCTAGGGTTTAGGGTTTTCCTAACCCCCCTACTCTCTCGCCTCCTCCCGTCGGGCACCCTAGACCCGAACGACTCCTTTCCCCTCGACCGGATTCGCGCCACCATCTCACTCGGGATCCGCTGGTCACAAGGCGAGCTGACCCACGACCACCCACTTCACTCTGGCGGTCCCCTCCCTCTCACTGGTGGTCCCCTATCCCCTGTCCCCATACCACAAACCATCTCTCACCACCTCCCACTGTGTCTACCTCTCTCGCTCCACCGCCCACGGACGGGGCTACAATTGAGGAGATCACAGCTGCGCAGTCCACATCCCAGGTGAGCGTGGAGCCAGTGGCTCATGGTCAGGCTCATGCGGACCCCATGGACCTTCATGTCGTCCTTGTAGCGATCCAAGAGCAAGTTAGTATGCTTGGACTGTTGCAAACGCGAATCAATGCGCTTACCCTTGACGTCAACCGCCTCAAAGGCTCTCCCCATCGCTCCCCCCCCCATTCTCACACCCCATCCCCTACCGGCTCACCAGTCGATTCCCCACGACTCCGGCGAAATAGACAGGGTGGTTCTCCCTCTCGCGCGACTCAGGCCCAACACTCCCCCTCAGCCGTGATAAGCGCT